CCATTATCACTACCACCACCACCACCAACAACAACAACGAAAACAACAACAAAAACTAAACGAAATAAAGACAAACAAACAAGCGAACAAAAATATAACGACCATTCAACAACTCTACCCCAACGCTTGTATAGATCTGTTCCTCAAAAACAGGAACACAAAAACACGGAAAAGCGGAATGAGCTTGGTCAACAAAGAGGTTGGGTGACGGGGGGTTTGAGAGGGGGTGGGGGTGGGGGTGGGTAAGCCCTAAAACAGACACGTTCATTAATTAAATAGAAATTGTATCATGGTTCAAGATAATAGGACAGAATTATTTAAGCAACACTATCACGATTCAAGATTAAAAAGGACAACATTATTTACGCAAGACATAATCTAGAGTGAATACAGCTCTGCCAAGAACAAGGTTAACTCAGCTTGCCCAAGGCGCCACTTACTCATTCCCATCCTTCGCCATCCGGTCAGTAGCGGTGACGTCATGACCCAGTTTCTTCTCTCCTCCAGCTGCAGCCTCGACCTTGTTTTCCGGGTGGAAGACGCCATTTTGTACTAGCGGCTTCCTGTCTCCGTCTTCCTGACCAGACGAGTCTTTCTGCGTGGAGCCCTCAACGTCTACCACCGTCTCCTTCTCCTGCTCGCTTCTGTCTTTCGCCAACCCGCCGTTCTGTCTCTTTCCCTTCGCTTTGCCCAGGCTAGGCGCCCTTAGGCCTAATCGCTCACTGACGTTGTGGAAGACCCACACACAAACGAAGAAGCCATAAGCCAAGATGAGCGTCAACTGAAGGAGGGTAGGCGTGTGCTGTGGGAAGGCATGTCTGTCAGTGTACTTTGCCAGGGCTTTGGTGGTCTGGGTCAGTCTCAGACCACTCCCAACGTCAGTTGACAGCCGGGTCGAGTTCATCAACGCTGTCATCTTTGTCTGTCTGTTTGTCTGTCTGTCTGTCTGTCTCCCTGTCTGTCAGTCTGTCTGTCTGTCTGTCTGTTCCTCTTTTCCTTTCCCACCCACTCTCTCCGTCTCTGTCTCTCTGTTCCTGTTTTCTCTGCCTCCCTCTCTCTCTCTGCTTAGACTTGGGTAACGCTTTCCGTTGGCTAGGGTGTTTCAAAAAGCTGAGAATCAGACTCTTCCAGAACCAATTGTCCCTCGTCTAGGAAAAGCCAACTACATCAAAGAAAACAAACGAAAACCCCGCACTGTCGCGTCCTGCACCAAACAAGACCTCACAATGCACCACTGTGAACCTCGGGGCACCGGGCTACAGCAGGAAGGCAGCTCAGACACACGGACTGTGTCATCTCATCAGACCTGTGAAATAAGAAAAAGTAGAGAAAAAAATGAACACTTTTATCTATTTAAAAAAGTTTAACTTACGTCAGACATTTGCGGCACTTGCACCACAAATAAATCATTCAAGGGCCGAAAATTAGAGGTATTATCAGAGAGTATAATACAAAGAAAAGCAGGAGGAGAGAAAAGGAGGCTCCAGTGGCTAAGTGAGTAGTTTAGACTCTAGCAATGTCAAGCAAGTGTCGGTGACACGGGGATCAGATGGGTGTTCACTGGAGTGTGTCCTTGAACAAGACACGACAACCCGAGCTCAAAATACAGGACGCTGCACAGTGGCGACCGACAGTGGCATTGTAGTAAACTGTTCTGTATTTGTGTAATATTGTGTATTTATGTATGTATTTATGCATGTATGTATTTATGTACGTACGTATTTATAATTATGTATTTATGTACGTATGTTTGCCATTGTGAAACAAAGTGCCCTTCTGGGACAAATAGAAGTGTTATCTATTTATTTATTTATTATTGTTTATAGGAAAGAAACCACACCAGAGCACCCGCCAACCACCCAAAAACAGGGGAATGAAAAAATGACTGTAATATGCTACAAACTGTTACTCTATTGACCTATTGCGTGGGTTTATTACCTTTTCAAAACTATAGTTATGTACAAAGCAGGATCTCCATTAGAATGTAGTATGTCTTAGATAAGACCGAGAATTTTTTTAATGCAGCCTTTGAGACACTTGTATCGATGTGAAGGCCCCGGGGATCTTGCTCTCGCTGGAAGAATGGAGGGCAAACGATACAAGGGTAGACCCAAAGCGATTTACTTGGAAAAATCTGAACAGGTGGGTTACAGAGAAGGGCAAGGGTAATATAGATTTCTTCAGTTCAGAAAATTAGAGAGGTGTCGTATTATAGAGGGTAACATAAATCATATAAAGTACATATAAAGAAGGAGGAGAGATAATGACGTTAGATGTTTGATAAGAAAAAAGGAGTACGCCACACCGGAGCACACGCCTGCCACCGACTACCGTACTGTACCATGTCCTACCATGTATTTCTGTACCGTACCATGCCTTACCATGCAGTTTTGTACCCTACTATACCCTACCATGCAGTTCTGTACCGCACCATACCCTACCATACAGATCTGTACCGTACCATGCCCTACCATCCATTCTGTACTGTACCATACCCTACTATACAGATCTGTACCGTACCATGCCCTACCATTCATTCTGTACTGTACCATACCCTACCATACAGATCTGTATCGTACCATACCCTACCATACAGATCTGTACCGTACCATGCCCTACCATACAGATCTGTACCGTACCATGCCCTACCATGCAGTTCTGTACCGTACCGTGTCCTACAGAACTGTACCGTACCGTAGATAATTCGTGCCGTATATCTATGGTACCACAATGCTTAGCTGATAAAGACCAAATAATGTCATAGTGACACTAACATTTGAATCTAACGTGTGGAGAATGTAATGTGCAAGTAAATCATTAATCATGACGTCCGGAAGTCGAAACCTTTTGAAAGGACAGCGGAAGGTGATAATATATATTAATTTTGAACTTGGAAGAAACAAGATAAAAAGAAAAGGATATTCATCTTCGATTTTTACCTCAGAACTAATAATAACAAAAGACCCCCCCAAAAAAAAAAAATATTTTAAAAATTCAACGAAAAGAAAAAAAAACAACCCCTCCCCCAAAAACCCACTAAAAACAACAACAAAACAACAACAACAACAAGAAGCTTTCACCGACGCCGTTGAACGTGACACTGTGACTAGAATGCCGTCGAACAACCACATCCACAACATGGTGTCTGAATTCCACACTGCCCTGATGGACGCCGGTACCCGTATTGTCGGCACTGTGAAACCAGGCAGGCACACAAAGACAAGGGAAACCCCCACAGTTCGAAGATCAAACCGGAGGCGAAATAGACTCCGGAAAGAGGTGCGAACCCGCCGCAAAGAATGGCTAGAGGCGTGCCACGTGGCGCAGAAGACGATCAACGATGCTAAGACCGACGCCTGGCGAAAACTGCTCGAGAAAACCACCAACTCACAGGACGACACCAAGATGTGGAAAATCACAAAAAGCCTCAACGGTACCCCTGAGACAAACTCGCCAAATGAAGCAATGTCACACAATGGGCGATTGGTGACATCAAGCAAGCATAAGGCGGACATATTCGCAGACCACTACGCGAACGTCTGCAGTCTAAACATGTCGAAAGAAGACAGAGCCGAAAACTGGCAACTCAAACAGCGACTGAAATACTTACGGAACAACCCAAGGGCAGACCAGCCCGATTTCACTATCGGGGAACTGAGGAACGCCATTGCAAAGATGAAGTCCCGCGGATCACCCGGACCAGACAACATCCCTCCGTCCTTCCTCAAAAACCTGGGTCCCAAAGCGCTGAAGAAACTGCTCTCCATCTTCAACATGTCATTTCGCTCAGCTGATGTCCCACAAGTCTGGAAAGACGCCATCATTGTCCCCCTCCTCAAGACCGCCAAACCAGCATCGGAACTAACGTCGTTTAGACAGATAAGCCTCACATCCTGTGTCATCAAAGTTATGGAGAGAATGGTATCTGAACGACTGTACGACATGGCCGAGCGGAACGGCTGGTTTTCCGAACTGCAGGCTGGTTTCAGGAAGGGGAGATGTGTGGAAGACCAAATTCTGAGAATTACGCAGAAGATTTCCGATGGCTTCCAAAAGAAGGAGAAATCGGTACTCGTCCTCCTCGATTTTTCAAAGGCATACGACATGGTCTGGCGAGAACGCCTACTCCTCACCCTCCTGGACAGAGGTATCCCAGATACATACGTTTTATGGCTGAATGACTTCCTTCAAAATCGTCAAGCCAGAGTCCGATTCAATGGAATACTGAGTAATAGCAGGAAAATGAACCAAGGTCTCCCACAAGGTTCGGTCCTGGCACCCATCCTCTTCCTTTGTTATATCGATGAGCTGGCGAAACTACTTCCGGACGATCTCACAATTTCACTCTACGCTGACGACGTCTCTATCCTCGCTTCATCACGCACGACACGAGACGCCGAAAGTCTGGCACAAAGAGCGGTGGACATCGTTGCTGACAGGAGCAGGCGATGGAAACTCACGCTAAACGGCTCAAAGAGCGAGACAACATTCTTCACGCTTGCAACATCTGACTCGGAATGGAAGCCGTGCATCACGATAAATAATTCGTCAATTAGGTATGAGCCCTACGCAAGACTCCTGGGAGTCACACTCGACCGCAAGCTCACGTTCAGGAAACAGGTTGAGTCAGTAATAGCTAAGGCCACACAGAAGATGAGGATGCTTGGCGCTGTAGCGCACTCAGAATGGGGATGGAGGAAAGACGACCTACGCAAGGTCTACCTCACTCATATACAAAGTGTTCTCAACTTTGCGAGCAGCAGCTGGCAACCGTGGCTGAGCAAAACTCTGATAAATAATCTGGAGGTGATTCAAAACAGATGTCTGCGACTGATTACCACCCAAGCCCAGTCCTCACCGATCGAGGCACTTCGAGCTGAAACGGAGGTCCCAAGCATTCAGTCCACCATAAATGCTAACTGTCTCCGATCAAGAGAGAAGGTCCTCCGACTGAACAACGACCACCCTCGACGAATTGCGGCAACGGAACAAGTGCACAGACGCCTAAAAGGGCGCAGGGATTTCCGAAAAAGGGGCCGAAGACGTCAGCAAAAAGAGCCCACATCTGTTCGACTGCGAGCAGAGGCCCATCGCTTACTTCGAAACCAGGCCCTGGGAACGTGGAATCAACCCCGACATCACTTTTCCCCACCTGTACAGCATAAGCGGAAGGAGTGACTCCAGTGGGAAGATTCAAAGCGCTGCTGTTCGTCGAGCACGAGAGCTTGGCGCACAGTACAATATCTACACTGACGGCTCGGCTAGGGCAGGAACAACGGACGGCGGCGCTGGAGTCGTCATCACAACGGGGAACCCGTCCAACCCTACCGTTGTCGAGACATTGAGGGAGAAAGGCGCCATATTTGCGTGCTCTTTCAAGGAAGAAAGGAGAGCCTTGGAAATGGCCATTGACTGGATTGACAAAGAGTGCGATGCATCCAACTCGGTCGCTATCTTCACCGACAGTCAATCACTATGCATAGCACTAGTGGGAACATCACCATCCTTCGACCAATTGCGACTACGCATAAATAATGCAATACCTCAACCCACGATTCAGTGGATCCCTGGTCACCGCGATATCCTCGGCAACGATCTCGCTGACAGTAATGCCAAACTGGCAACAGCGCTGCCGGCTCCAGGCCGCCAAATTACTTATGACAGTGCGTGCGCCCAGATAAAACTAATTACAAAAGACCCCCCTATATGCCACACGCGGACGAAGGAAGTATACAGGGCATTTTCCTTAAAACGAGAGGCTCTTATTATGTCCCGCAGTGACCAGTCATTACTGGCAAAAAACAGGACCGGTCATTTCTCTGGGCTTCGGGTCTACAAAAATAGAATAGACAAAACATCGGACCCAATATGTCCATTGTGCAGCGAGGAGCCCCAAGATTTGGAGCACTGGCTGCAGAGATGCCCCGCCACGGAGGCCCGGCGGTGGCATCTCTTCGGGGAGGATTCAGGGAGGTTGGACTGCCTCAC